TTTGTCATGAAACAGAATAGCACACTTGGTGTGTACTTAAGTGGTATCCGGAAGTAGCTTAAAGTGTATGAAGTATAATAGTGATGTATTGTAAGTATGTTTCTGTAACACATAACCCAGTACTTGCAGTGGTAACATTATTGTAAAATACACTTCTATTCTGTAGTATAAGCAGTGATACCATACACTTCTACTCTACATTATAGTATAATAACATTATACTTAAAATACATGGATTTATGGTGCTTAAATTGTGATAGAACCTTACTATAAATACATTTTTATTAACATGATAGCACAATTTAAAAGTATTAAATACAGTTAGAAAGTGCATTTGAAGTTAATTGGAAATATAACAGGTGTGCTTGAATAAGTATGATAATAGTATGTTGAAAACACACTTATGAATTACTATGAATTGAGCAGAATGCCCTTTTAAGTATATTTCCAACACACTGGTGATACAATACAATTATACTTAAAGCATGTTTCGAATGCACACGAATGCCCTTTTAAGTATATTTCCAACACACTGGTGATATAATACAATTGTGCTTAAAATGTGTTTCGAATGCACATAAATCATGATTTTAACTGGTGGTCTCTCGGGCTTAACAGGTTAAAGCATCTAACCACAAACATGTTCAAAAATATATCGATATTGTGGATAACCCGATAAGTTTCAAAGCAATTGCAGAGGAAATCTGACCTTAAGTAAATGTGATTCATGATGGCAGGAAGTGAGAGGTTAGAGTAAGCAGTGTATTTTGGTCAATACAATAACAGTGGCATAACGCAGCCCAGTTTAACTTTTCTTACGCTTTCTGGGCCTTAAAGGTCCAGTCTGTAGGATTTAGGGTCAACAATTAGAAGAAAACTGAGTATAATATTCATAACTATGTATTGAAAAGTGTAAAGTCTGAAACTTATCAAACTAAATGTTTTGTGTATTTATGAAATTCAAACAACATCATCAGTTTCTCAACCCTGCAGTTTTCTTTTCAGACGGTCCATAATACTGTAAAAATGCTTGCCCCTCCTGCAGCAGATCACAATACAACAGCACAATAATATACTGTACTACAATGCAATGTCAGTTGGCCCAACCCATCTGCTACTGTACCACAAGCTGGATAAATCAAATGTCCACACAAATAAACAAGTGTGATCAGTCAGCGAAATAAAAACTAAAGGGACAGACAAATTGATGCCAATATTATTTACTGAGAGACATGTCTACTGTTGGAGAAAACAAGTTGTCTCCTCTTTATGGGTTGTTTTAATAAATGCACTGATACTATGTGTGACTGCACTGTGTATGACCTTGCAGCTGCCTCTTCTTGTGATAGGAGGAGGCAGGGCATTTCAGGTTGTTGATATTTATGAGAAGACTTGTTGTCTCCTAAATATCCCACTTCTATGAGACGTGAAGGAAGTATGTGACTCTTTCCAGAAGACGTCGCAGATGTCCCTGTCACCTTTCCGACACCTGCAGATGATATTAGCGCCACCTCGATTTACGACTTTGTTGTTATCTCCGTATTTTGGACTATATAAGCATGATGTTTTTTCCTGCTCCGTTGAGCAACATATACCATGTGTGTGGGTTAACCCATATCCTTTGTATGTGATTTAACTCTGCTCCTTCTTGCAAGAATAAATTAGTACCTGATTATTGATTCTCAACCTGGTGTCGAGTGATATTTTCCTAACATCTACCCTGTCATTCTTTATGTTATAATTATTAATATTGCATTTAAACTGTAAATCATTGCAGACGTCATCCTACCCATCCATCCTGAGCAGCACAGCTTCAGCACAGAGCAATAAAAGTGTTAGTGATAACCTACTGATGGTACATCTGCAGGTTCCCTCCAAATAGGAAACAGCAGAGTGTGAAATAAATAAAAGCAACCACAGAAGCGCGGCATTTGTTCATTAACTGACGTTCCCATGGCGGTGTTATTGATTGCCTCATTAGGTAAGAATGTTTCCACTGTGTGCGTACATTCCTTCTGTTCGCTTTAATCTGCATGAAACGACAGCCAGCGGTCTTTCTTCTTTCTCGACTTGTTGTCACACGAAAGGCGGTTTTGTTGTTGACTTTGTTTGCACATTTTTATGAATGACTCAGACTTCCAATGAGAGAGACAGAGAGAGGAGGCGGACAGCTCCCCGCCCCGCCTCAGAACACTCAACAGCTACGCAGGATCCCACGGGCTGTGGCCTTCCCTAGCCCGCCAAACGCCTCAGAACAAGCCCCAACAGGGGAGGTTTATCCTGTGTAGGCTGGCTGCACACACAAAACACACATAACACCATATTGTGTAAGGGCTCCTGTTGCAACCACCTAACTATGCATTACAATTCCCAGGAGAAATACCAGATCTGCAGATAAGGGATTGTGGGAACCAGAGAGCATGGATTGACATTTTCAAATTCCTACTAAGTCAACTGGCAACACATTAAAGGCAGTTTTATGCTGTGGCTGCTAAAAATTGCCTTCCCAAACCATTTTCAATTTTGTTTTTAGGGAAACGCATATCCTCACATTTCTTTTTAATATATTTTAAATATGTTTCTTATGAACATTTGGTTGGTAGGAGTTCAGGTTGGATCAGACCTGGCGGCAGACCTACATTCATGGGGGTGAATTAGATTTTTGAGGGCGGGGCCAAGGTTAAAAGTTAATTGATCTTGCTTAGGAACATATGCCACTGCAAAAATAGCCCTTCCAAAAACAAGCAAAAATATTCTTGAATCAAGTCAGATTTTCCTGTATCAAACACAAAATCTGCCAATGGGGTGAGCCAAATTTGCTTGGCTAGAATTCTTATAACTAGAATTGAAATCTAGCTACTGAAAGACCATAACGGGCCTTGAAACTAGAACAAAATGCTTATTACCAGCAATGATTCCTGATATCAAATATATTAGTGAGTTTGTCTTAAACTTAGAATGTAAATCTTAAATTAAGTTTAAAAATGAGCAAATACAGCTTACAATAAGAATTCAATTATTTAATTAGCATAATAGATTACATGTTAGACGCTTTTATCCAAAGCGACTTACATACTCAATACTGTGGGCAATCCCCACAGAAGCAATTTGGGGTGAAGTGTCTTGCCCAGGGACACAATAGGCGCTTTCACACCAAGTACTTTTCCCAGGAATAGTTCCGGAACTATCTAGTAGATCGCGTTCACACCAGAATAAGTCCCTGAGGGAGCCGCTGACGTCTCTTCTTCTTCTTCTTCTTCTTCTTCTTCTTAACAACTTCACGGCGTATACTGCCACCCGAAGGCCCCGGAGTTGGTGACTGCAGTGGGGTTTGAACCTGTGCTCCCCTGACCCGAACACCAAAGCACTAGTCCACTGCACCACACACCTCTATCAGCGCCGTATAGATAGAAGAGTTGCGACAGCGGAAGTCCAGAATGCTTGATCGTCGCGTGGTTCAGAGAGACTCAGAAAGTTCCCGGAAGTTCGTGGCGGGCCATTTGAATGCATTAATAACAGGAGATAGAACTGCGATTTTTGGTAATCAGTGGTCAATAAAGGTTTTGATTTGCAATATTTATACAACATATCGATATGTGTATGTAGTTACATTAATATGTTTTTTTAAAGAAAAGTAAAATTTGCTAATATTTGAGGATTAAGATAAAATAAGAAGTACTTTATTGATACCAATTGGGGGAATGTTTGCATTTCAGCAGCAAAAGACAAGGCATACAGATTAGACAGTTAAAAGACTAGAATCAAACAATCCAAAATGAAACATCTTAAATAGAAATAAAATAGCATTACAAAAAGTAGAGAATATACATAGATAGTGTGAACAGCTATTTAACCTGCCTTGTTAACATATACATGTTAGGCTAACGTTGCCTTGGTTAAAGAGCCTGTTGCTGTTGTTTATTGCTTTGAATTCTTTAAAACAAATATTTTGTTCTTAAACTTGTATGAAGTCAGGAGCATCACATCCTAATGTTTATTGATATATTTAGGGGGAGGGGATGCAGTGCCTTTTCCTCCGTGTTGTCCTGGCATATAGTCTCCCCCATGGTTTGCTGTGCTGCCGGGGGATGCTCCAATTGCTCAGAGAAAGGAGTATGAATGCAAAGTTTCCCCACTGACACAGATGCCCCTTTCACACCAACGCGTTTTCAGCTCCGGCTCGGAGCTGGAGCCTGAAAAGTACCGGTTTTTCCTGTTCACACCGTAGAGGCGCCGCCTCTTAACTCCAGAATCCGGTTCACTTCCAGCTCCAAAAAATTGTCGGTCTCTAGAGGCAAGAGCTTCGGAGCTAAGAGGCGGCGTCGCTTACGTCTCTCTTACGTCGAGGCAGGGGCATGGGCGGGATCAGCCTCCTGAACAACAACAACATGCTTGCATATGATGTTTGTAAAGTTCCAAGTAAAGTCGTCCCTTGTAAAGTCGGGCTAATGACTGATCCGGGCACAGGGCACAGACCCAGAGCCATCCGACGCCACTCCACCTCCACCCAAGCAACAGCGGCTGGATTTCAACCGAGGGACTGCTAGCCAGGTGAAAGTAGATAAAGCCATTGCACGGTATGTGTAGAACACATGCAGGCTATTTCTACAGTGGAGTCACCCGCTTTCAGGGAGCTAGTTAGCATGATACCATGTCCGGGCGGCACACGGCATATGGGACGGAAAACGTTTTCCAACTACCTGGAGAAATAATATACCAAAATGGAAAGCGAGCTAAAGAAAACATTTGAGGGGCTGGAATACATCTCGACCACCGCAGACATTTGGTCTGTCCACAAGAGAAGCTTCCTCGGGATAACATCTCACTGGATAAACCCCACCACTTTACAACGCCAGAAAGCTGCGTTGGCCTGTAGAAGGATAAAGGGTAGGCACACGTACGATCTTATTGCTAGTGAGATTGACCACATTCACTCTTTGTATGGAGTGTCAACAAAAGTTACCTCCACGGTTACTGATAACGGCTCTAACTTGTGAAAGCCTTTGCCATGTATCAACCGGAATCGCTCTCTGACGACGATGATGAAGAAGAGGTTATCTTCACTGACGTTGCAGACGTGCTTAACACCGCCGCAGAGGAAGGGATTGTTTTACCTCCGCACCAAATATGTGCATCTCACACACTAAACTTAATTTCATGCGCTGACGTGCTGAAGTGGCTCCTTTCAAATCCTGGGACTAAAGGAATCTACAGAAGCTCTACAGCTAAGTGCACAGCACTGTGGAATAAGGCAAGCAGGTCCACAGTGGCCTCAGAGATAGTGAGCGACGTTGTAACAACCGGTGTTTATGTGACCGGTAGTCACTCACGGTAACACCCACCCAGCCAGTGATTCGCTGTTGGTTGGCGCCTCCATTTCCTTTCCCCCCTATTTAGTTAGACGGAGCCGGAAGGGAAAGGTGTGTGTGCGGAGCAACACGCTCATCTGTTTAGCAACCAGCAGTTAGGTCGTTTAAAGTCCGTGTTACCGTTTGTCTGATCCACCGTCATCCGTCATCATACCCCATAAGCACTTTGAATTGCCTTGTGTTGAAAAGTGCTATATAAATAAACTTGCCTTGCCTTGCCTTGTGTCGCTTCACGTTCCTGGATTATTGTGTACAAAACTGAAAGGAGCCGCTCATCTCCCAACCACCTTAAAAACCAGGACTGGTTTTTCAAAACCGACTGGATTGCTAAAACTGACTGACATTCTCCCGTGGTAATTGACTGTTTTATTTATTTTGAAGAAAACCCGAAGTGGAAAGTTTTGGATTTAACATTGAACTGTGGGAAGACGAATTGTTTGGGGGGGTATTCAAAAATACACTTGCTATTTGTGATTATGATTTTGAGTTGTGTCCTTTCTTATATTTTATAATGTCATTCAATGTTGGGTGTTTACAGTGAGATGTATACACCTTTGTGCAGACTTACTAAAACTGACTGACTAGCCAAATCTGAAACGTCAGGAGAGAGACCTGACTGGCACCCCAAATAACCTAAATAAGTAAACTGTCACAATGTGTTCACCAAAAAGCTGCTTGTGCCATGCACTACAAGATGGAATTCATTTTATGATGCTGTGGCAAGAATTGTTGAAATGCCTATGATTGACTTGAGTGCCATCTCTGATCGTTTACAGCTAAAATATATTAGCGACAGGGAACTTCATTTTCTGAAGGAATATTGTGCCATAATGAAGCCACTCACAGTTGCTCTGGACATCCTGCAAGGAGAGGACAACTGTTACTTTGGCACCCTCCTGCCCACTCTAGAAACATTAATGTCAAAGACCCTGGAGATGAAAGACAGTCTGACTGTAGCAACTGGCCTACCTGAAGCCATAGTTCAGGTAAGAAACATTCATCAACACTTTTGTAATTATCTGGTTTTCCCTCTTCACTGTAGAGAAAGACTGCATGTAATCAGTGGACACCACTCATTTTTATTACAGCACACGTGGTATAATTGTTAACTATAGAATAGATGTCATTACTATTGTTAGCTGAGAGAGAGCACTAATACAGCCAAAGAAAATGGATGAAATGTTTTCAATGCATTCTCAGGGACACAATAAGTCTTGAACATATTGATAAACTGACTGAAATGTATAAACTCGACTCCAGGGTGCAACAGAAATACATAGCAATACTTGTTTTGGCTAAATAAAGTTTTAGTTTAAATGATTTAATAACTCCTAATATCTATAGTTCAAAATCACCTGGTGGTGTGCAGCTTTCATGGAAATGTACACAAATAAATAAAAGGGAATCTCACTTATTCTAATGTCTGTGTCACATGTTGTTTTACAGGCTATCAAAAAACGATTTGCATCTGTCTTGGAAAGCAACGATGTAATGCTGGCAGCCGTCACACTTCCCAAGTTTAAGTTACGGTGGGTGAGAGACCAGAAGAAGAAAGAGATGGTCAAGGGAATCCTGGCAGCAGAGTGTCACAAGTTTCTCCCTGGCCCTGAGCAGCAACCAGCCAAGAATCCTGTGTCTCCGACAACTCCACCAGACTCAGGCTCCTCCAAAGACAAAGAGCAGGACTTTTTTTGCTTTGAGGATGACGATGAAACCTTCAGCACTGTGGAAACTGAGGTAATGGCCTACTTGAAAACAGCCGAAACAGGCATGGAGATTCTCAAAACATTTCCCACAATAAAGGCAATTTGTCTGAAGCTAAATGCAGCTACCCCATCCAGTGCACCAGTTGAGAGACTCTTCAGTCTGGGAAGTCTGGTACTGTCTCCAAAGAGGAACAGGCTGTCTGACCAAAGGTTTGAGAAGCTGCTTCTCATGAGGTACAACCACTGGTTCGAAAGCTAAACCTCCACTCAAACATTAATTCAGGTCTTTGCCAATAAGCACTTTTTGTTGTTTTGATTAACTAGGCCCACACTTGTTATCTGTGTGTGTGTGCCACAGGGACACAACAGCACTTTAATTTCTGTTATATATATTCCAAAACACCTATTGTATGCTTGCTGGACTTCATACTTGAACTAAAGGAAAAACACTGACTTTTTTTATACTTATTTTGTTGGACTACAACAGCAGTTGCCTCTATATGGTGCTGAAAGCACTTCAATTTTTGCACTTTGATTCTGAACAATATATTCAGCTTACTCTCCATTAGTTCAAGAAAAGCCGGCATACAACTCTTATTTTATGGTATTGCTTAGATTTCATTTTTGAGGAGCTGATGTTTTTTGTTTTAATGCATTTATGGTTGTCTTGTCTGTACCAGCATTTGGTGTGAAAGTACATTCATTTTTTCCAACTTGATTCTGAATAATATATTCAGATTGTATTTGATCTTGGGAATGTTAGTGTGTGTATTGTTGAGTGTGTTCGGATCCACCATAACAGGTTTACAGCTATGTTGTGTTAATTATGGCAGACTAGACCTGTAGATTGCAGGCAACTAAAGTTTTGTCAGTTTGTTCTGGCCTGAAATAAATTGGCACTTTGAAACATAGCCTATCTTTGTGTTTGTGTTTGTATAGACCACATTGCTTAGCAGAGTTCAGTGATGCAAATGCATGTCAAGTTGATCAACAGATTGTATTATTCTCCAATGCAATAACAGTACTGAAATGAAGGTTATAAGGGCATTAATGGGAGCTTTGTTTTAAGTAACGAAAACGTTACTTTCACAGTAACGTATAACTTTTTGTTAGTAAAGTAACTGCGTTACTTTTGAAATGAAGTAACTAGTAATGGGAACTAGTTACTGGTTTTCAGTAACTAGCACAACACTGCCATAGGACATCTATATAGGGGTGCGCACAAATGGTACGCAGGTATGCATGCGCTGCAAACATCTGAAATGCGTAACCTCACTTTTGTCACTGCGCGCCTTTGCGTATCTGATGGGTCATCAAAACAAAAACACATATTTCGTCCACACGTGTTTTTTGTGAATACTCAATGGATTCAAACTAGACATGTCCAAAAAAACAAAATACATTAGGCAGCCACTTTAGCGTTTTGCTCCCTGAAAAAAATCTCCAGACTTTATTGGACTGATCGAACTGAGCCGAGCCGCACAGGCCATAACGGACCTGTGAAGCCTTTACAGGAGGCAGAGGCTTAGATTACCGGACGACAGAGTTGTTCACCGTGTGCACAGACGGGGTTGTTGTTAACGTCGGTAGGCTATGTATGAACAACATAGGTCAACTGGCTGCGGAGGGAGACTCCTCCTGTGCACATTCTGTGCCCCGCCCATACACTGGAGAACTGCAAAATCAGCTGATCGCAAAGTTCACGCGCTGCCAAGCTGCTGCAGTTTTATTTACAACAAGTTGGAGCAAAACCGAACACACAGGTGTAAACTTACTCAGGGTGTTAATGGAAGAGTTTGAAATCAGACAGATGTGGAAGAAGTACTCAGCTCTTGTGTAGGAATTCATAATGTTACTCAAGTAAAAGTAGAAAAGTATTATCATCAAAATATAGTTAAAGTACCAAAAGTAAAAGTAGTCATTGTGCAGATTGGTCCATTTCAGAATAATATATATGATATATTTTATAATTATTGATCATTAAGTGTTATGAAAAAGCTGGTAAATGTGCAGCTAGTTGTAATGACTTTGTATACTGCAGGGTAGCTTGTGAATTTACTCCAGGTGGAACTAAAGTCTGATAAAGACTTGATTATATTTTACATCATTAATCCAAATCTGTAAAGTAACTAAAGGTATTAAATAAATATAGTGGAGTAAAAGTACACCATTTACCTCTGAACTGTAGTGGAGTAGAAGAACAAAGTAGCATCAAATAGAAATACTCAAGTAAGGTACAAGAATCTCAAAATTGTACTTAAGTACAGTACTTGAATAAGTGTACTTAGTAACTTCCCACATCTGAAATCAGATATGACTTCAAGTCATGTGATCATTTCTTAGTATTTGATCCTTCAACTTGGCCTCAGGAAATGCAAGGACTTCACATTTTTGGCAACACGTTTTGAAGAAAGCAAATCGGAGGCTTAAACAGGGACAGGGAGGTGCATCTGCAGCATCTTCATCATCTACCATGCAAGAAGAGGAACTAGAGGACAGTGAAGGAGACACTGAGGAGGACAGTAAAGAAGACTGCACTTATTAACACCACACTTTGTGTGGGATGAGTACCTAACGCTGTCTCCTGGTACTCATCTGAGTAACTCACTAAAAAAGTTATGTGCACCCCTGTCTATAAAGCAACCTATAGGATGGGAAATTGCTGACCTATTTTAAAAAGGGACCTATCATGCAAAATGCACTCTTGTACATCTTTTATACATGACTATTAGGGGTGTAACGGTTCACACATTTTTTTTTCCAAAGCATTGCCAATATGTTGTCCCGGTTTTGGTCCAGCAAAGCAATATTAACAACATAAAGATTCAGTCTACCTGGACCTCTGTAGGATGGGTTATCATGCTGGTAGTCATGCGTTCTGGCTACTCATTTACATGTCTTAATCATTGAAAAATGTAAATGAGTTACATTTCCTCTTTTGCCTGTGTCTCTCAGAGCTGACCACCAGATTCAAAGATTATTATCAGCGTAAATGTAAAATATGTTCAGGCCTACACGTTCTTTTAATATACATCCTTGGTCATATATTATCCATCTAACGCCAGGTCTGGGTTAGATGGATGGGCTGAACAAACCCAGGACTCTCACACAGGGTTGAGATATGGATTTACAACATAATTATTGGGATGACTATTGGTGTTTTCACAACATATTCAAACACTGAGATTTTTGGTGGATATGATGGAGAAATGGGTAAAGGTCATTTACATATTTACTGTAATGCAGCCTTTCAAATTAGGAAAACATATGTGCTTTTATGATATCCAAAATGTAAGTCAATATCTAGTCTCGTATCACTATATTGACATAATATCGATATTCAGCCCTACTTTGACCGAATGACGTCTTTTTGTGCCCTGTGTGAAAGCAAAAGTATTTTGGTTACATCATATAACATAACAAACATACTTCCTTTAACCGAAACATGATCTTTTACAAATTAGTTTTGTTGCAATTTTGTAGGAATTTGCGATGTACAGGGTTCAGAATCAGGCTATGTTCGGTTATTAATGTAATAAAGAAGCTTTAACATTGACCAAGAGGAAATTCATTTGGACCAGTGCCAGAAGGACAAATAAGTATTCAAGCAGCTAGACATGAGCTAAACGTTCCTCTTCCATAAACAACAGAGTGTATTCAAGAAATTAGGAGTCCTGATCTGACACAGGCCAGTTAAAGCTTCTCACCGAACACACTCCAACAGCCTCTTCTCTTTTATTTGCCTATTTTTCCCAGGGGCTGACTGGACACCGTGGGAGTGAAGGAACTCACTGTGGTAGCTCAGTGGCTCAGTGTTTGTCTCCAGGATGCCTGTTAGGTTTCCAGGGTAGTGGGAGTCTGAGCCAGGGTTGACCCTGACTTTCTCTTTGGCTAATTCCCTGAGCAGCTGATAGGCTGTGGGACAGGGAGGCAGCAGATCCTCTAGTCTGAAAGGTTATGGGAAGGGGAGGTGGAGGAAACTCGGAAGAATGGAGTCAGACAAAATCACCAAAAAAAGGTTCTCCTCTACATTTAGATGAAGTGTTTGAGTTTTTGTCATGACCTCAACGTGTGATCCTTTTAATTGTCCCTATAAATGTCCAGTTAATGCACACTGTCGCCATAAAGAAATAGTGATGGATTTCTTGGGAAAAAACTATTATTTTCTCTTTGCAGAGTTAAGCCAAGTCTCATGCCTAGTCTCCGATGCACTGTTTGGCTCGACTCGATACAATTGACATTTGGTGCCAGGCCTTTTTCTATAGTACCTACTTAGCTTAGACAGGGTTCCAGGCTGATCGCCACAGCGACGCCAAATTAAACTGTTGTTACATCATCTTACATTTAACAATCTGTGAATCCTTTTGTTGGCATCAAAACAGAGAAACATCTGCACTTTGTCAATTGTACAACCTACTTTTAGCGAGATGCAATTATAACAAATCTGCACCTGTACAATGTATCTATAGCAAGATACAATTGATAACAATCTTCACAGAGTTAAACAAAATTGTGGTTGCTACCGGCAGCTGGGCTATCCAAGAATGCGGCTTTTTGTCACACTAGTGTTCATTTTTTCTAAACAATTAGTTGTCTGCTGTGTTTTAAAACCACCTTTTGGTACCAAAAAAGGAAGCCATCTCTAACTTTCGCAAATGAAAAAAAAAGAAAAAGAAAAGAGCAGATTGAGAAAAATGAATAGAAAAGAAAATGCTGCTTTAGCTTGGCACAAAGACTGAAACCATTTTAATTGTACACATTTGTATGTCTTATTTGATCTGTACACAGCAGTAGAGACCTAATAAGTCACTGCGCCCAGCTGCTAGCTCGTCAAGAAGTGGTAACACCACATAACTCCATTTAAAACCTCAACTTCTCATCTTTCTATCTTTTCTTGTAAAATGTTAAAATTCATTTAACATAACAGACATGACATTGGTGAGGTTCAGAGGTGATGGTGGGAGGTTTTTGACTGAATTAGGCTAGCTGCTAACAGTTGTAATGCTAAGCTAAGCTAACCACCTACTTGCGAGGCTACAGTACAAGAGTGATACCTATCTTGTGGTGTTATCATCTCTACTGACTCTCTGCAAGAAGTAGCATAATGTTTATTTCCCAAAATGTCAAACTATTTGATAAAGCAATACAAATGCAGGACAACTTGTTACCATGTTTAGCATCACTTGCACATTGGAGCAATGATGCCTAGAACATTTTGACGGAAGTCCTTACTTGAGCTCCACTAAGTTTCAGCAGCATCTCCAAAGTTATTTGACCTTCCAGAAGTAAAAGTTATTGTTGGTATTCTGTTGCTGACATGCAGAATGAAATCAGACCTGATGTTAAGAGAGTGGTAATAGATGAAGGGCTAACCCAGCAGGCTCTAACCAGGTCCACCAGGTCCATCTGGTTCCAACTTCTTGGTAGGAATAAAGAGTTTCACTAGGAAATGATCATGTTAATTTCATTGCCTGATTAGAATACAGGAA